AGTGCTCCTTCACACTTCACATTATTTGATGTTTACAGAGTCTACAATTTCCTTCGAACCTACCTCCTTCAGGCGCTCAGCAGAAGTTTCTTCTTCTTGATCTATGTCTTTTCTCACATGGTTATGTAGGCGGTCCTGGTTGTGTCGGCGAGCTCGGATATCTCCTGCATTATGATCCGCTCCCACTGTCGGGCACGCACATACACCAATCTAATTTTGTTTGTCTGATTCCTCCGCAATATTTAGGTGAACCATCCGAGCGCCGCCTGCGAGTAAGCCAGTGCCAATGTAAATCTCCAAAGTATCAACACTAATGTTTCATCTTAGCAGGTCGGCAACTGTGCATGAAATGTTCAAACCATCACGCTCTCCAAAGGTCTTTTTGTCCAATCCCGATTCTTTCATCTCCCCTCCAGCGAGTCGTTTTCTGTTTCTTCTGTTTCTTTGCATCCCCAGGTTGCCCAGATACGGCATGACTCGTAATTATCTTTCCCCTCGGCATTACTAAGTAACATCTCTTTCCCTCTCCCGACGCTCCCAACCGTGTCTATTTGAGAGCCATTTTAGAGAGTCCTGACGGCCGAACATCACAGGGAGCTTCCGGGGGCCTTCCGGGGGCCTCCGTAAGCACCAAAGTTCTTTCCGATAAGCGAGAAAACTAAGTCTTTTGCTGATGGACTATTTGGCAATTCTCGTAACAGGTGGTGATCTACTGCCATACACCCGGCTGGACATTGCTCCTCCTGTTGGGTGTCCCGTCTCCCCCACTTCTTCACATCACCTTCAGCAGTTAAACAAAGTTGTTGAACTCGGACAAGTCGGATACCCGTATACATTACTGGCGTCATACTGATGATCGCCAGCATGTCAACCGAGAACAACGAGCTGCACAATATCCACAAACCACTTACGTTGTTATACCCACACAACGCTGGTGATTTGTGCCAGATAGTATCGTAACTGCCGGCCTATCAATGACTTTGTTCGATGAAGATAGATGTGTAGGTGCCGACTCACGTGCAAGCTGTGGTTTCGAACGTTCGGCTCAGGCTGAGTAGCTTCGCTGCCGTGCCGATACCGTCGATAGTCACTGAAGCTGGGCAATTTGCACATGAATTCGCGTTGGCACCAGCGAGGAAGCTGAGCAGCGCAAAGCTGATGAAGTGGGAAGTAAACATGATGGTTCTTGGTAAAGGGAATGAGGCAAAGTCATAGCAACGAGCAGGTGTTTTATAAGCTGAAACTTCCAGTGTGAACGTATCTTGCTACTGAGATGCCCTACTTTAGTGTGGCGGATCCGTACCGTACTGCCAACACATGGGTTTTCAAATACGATCACGTTTGGACTTCGGATGGTTGGTGAAAATGACGCGGTCGTGACGCGCCTGCTACGATTGTGACCTGGCATTGACGCGGTGCATGTCTCAAAAGCTTCCTAGTATCATATCATAACTTGATCCTCACATCTGTTTACAATTCATTTACTGGGCAAGAGAAGTGACAGGCATTTAACGATACCGTTTGAACGTTCGTGGCGGAAGCAGGCAAACATGATTGTCAAAGCGCTATGGATATGGACAGGTATAGACTACGGACGCACAAAGCAGAGAAGATAGATCGACGCTCATAGCTCCACAAATACGTCATCGGATGAGGTATCGTCGTTCGTTGGCAGACTCTATGTAGATCAGCTGGTGACTTTGGGACCAACTCTTGGCGCCCTTGTAGGATTGCTGGATAGGCAAGAGAAGCCAACTCCGGAATCTCCAAACCCTTCAATTTAAGTTCGCCTGCCAGCATGACCACATATACGGGCCGCTCGATTGACCACAGGCCCTAGATAGTCCATGCAATCAGTGATAGGATCCGTTTCACACAATGGGGGATCCTGAATGGATGCTCATGCGGACCGAAAGGCCACGTGCGAGGAGCGTTCCGTGCGCGTCGTATACCTCCTTGCCTTCATCGCACTCCAGTATTTCGGAAGGCCAGGACGCATGAAGAAGCACTATTTGGGCTGACAGGCACCACCAGACCGCGGCGAGAGTGGTTGGAAAGGTGCACATAAATGCGTCCCCTTCGGTCTTGACGAGATAAGCACCACAATGTATGAGATGGCGAAGTAGCAGATCGTTGTGCACATGTATAGCGGTCCGCATGGCTGGGTTTTTCTCCCATAATTCCGTGGAATTTCGAATATCGGTAAAAACCAAGCAGAGATGCCCTGTGGGGGGTGCGGTTTCTCTGTGCAAGAGAGCGATGGTTTTTGCCAGACGAGCCTTTACTTGACCGTATATTGTAGACGACGCCTCCTCCTTTTCGTTGGGAATTAGTGATTCGTTCCTTTCGTGGGTGTGAGTAGAAATATGACTCACACGCCGATGAGTCTCTTCCTGAACGTGAGTCGTCAAGAGATCCGTCACCCCAAAACCGGGCAGATGGGACAGTCAAGAAAAGTTGAAGGGCGCATTGCCGTGTTCATCCTCCGCATTTTCTCCATCATGGTTGTTCTACTTGGGATCCGATTCAAGATGGTGGTGGTGGTGTAACAAGTTCAAATATTTTGAATCGCAATGTAAATTACTGCGGGAGCTATGAGAAAATAATCCGTACATGTTATAAATGTCCAAACACACCTATGTATATGAGTGTCGAACAGCGGTTCATCATGTAGTTTTGACGACGAGTTTGTAGTAGAATGCATGTTGGTATGAATGGTGTTGTGCAATACGGTGCTGTGCGAAGGAGGTGAGAACGGAGGGTATGGCGCTGGATCTGTTCAACTATTCTTCACATGCAAAACTCACACACGCACAGACGCCACACACACACAAACGAGACACACACACATAATCACTCCGTCGCATACACACTCTCGTACCGTAGAAAAATTAGTACTGCACTATCACATCTGACATGATTCGATAATCAATTTATATTGCAGACAAGGCTGCTGATGAAGGGTTCTATAAACGAATCTTTTTAAGGCCCGGCTGGTGGACGAGATGGAGTGATGAGAAGTGAGTAGGTCTCGGAGTGAAACGCACTGAGAGTCGCCAGCATTGGCAGCAAAGCCGCGAATCTTTTTAAGGCCTGGCCTAGGGTGTGACACGGGTAGGCGTTACCCGGATATCCACCCGGGTACCACCCGCGGACGGAACGTGGGACGGATGGTACGGATGGTGGGTAACTTGGATGGTTCCATCCGCACGGGTACGGGTCAGAGGTCTTGCTACACTCAGGTATCCGTGGGTAGTTAGTACTCCAAATAGCAAATAATTTCGGCCGAGCCAAACTCACTACTTGTTAACCGAACTCCCAACCGACGTCAAAATATGTTGGAATCAAGCTCGCGGAGGTATGAATAGGTACGGATATCACCCAGCAGTGCTGTATCATGATGCTCATCTCATAAACTATATTTGTTGCTATCAGAGTCTATCAAAAGTTTATATGACTTCTTAGTTCTTGATGTTTAAAACTCGACCAGTCCAATTCGGATGTACAAAACTATCTTCGGCGTTCGCACCTATCTTTTCATACTTCGTCCTGATAGTGATGGAAAAGTTCGGTTCAGTCTGGTTCACCAGGAAATTTGGTGAATGTTGAACCGGACGTCACATTCAGTTCAGTGATTTTGCTGAACGTCTGAAATTTGTGCACAAGGTTAAAAACACTGTGTGGCATCATGCGAGGGGCGTAGTGATGTTCCGGTCTGGCTTGGGCTCACTATATTTCAAGCCTGAGCTGTGAGCCCAAGCCAGCCGAAAGCTGGGGCTTGGGCCCAAGCAAGCCGTGGCCTGTGCGCAAAATTCCAACAACATAAAGCACTAGAACTGGGATAGGTCAGAAGCAGACAAGCCTCAAACAAGTGAGTATGAAAATGGTAGAAATAATGTACATACATACACAGATATAACATGTATACTGGGAACAATGCAGGCAAACACAAATGAGCAGTGGAGATCACGCACTCCCTGAGAGTGGGACATCCACAGCACCATCAGCGTCGGGTCAGAAGTTCAAAACACGAGATCAGACACTATCTGAGAGTGGGACATTGCTGTGGCACCATCAGCGTCGGGTAAGCAGCTCAAAAGACGAGATTATGCACCTCCTGAGAGTGGGACATTGCTGTGGGACCAAATTCTCAAGACCAGCTTGCAATGCATCAGCAATACTCTGAGTAGCATTGGCAGGCTCCTGTAAGAATCAGTAAGATGATGTCAATATTGGCAAGTAAAAAGAAAACAAGGAAGGAAAATGACGCACCTGAAGGCATTTGGCACCTTGAAGACCACTACAGTGCATCCCAAGCACAACCCATCAATCTCTTCACCTGGGGAATTGACTTGAAACAAAGTACACACATGATGTGACACGAAAGTCACTGAGTGTGAAAGGTTTGCATTTGGTGTTCGGACATGTTCGAACACATTCAAAAAGGTTCGGAGAAAGCTGGACATAGAACCGAACTATGGGTTTGGTTCAGCCCATACCCCGAACCTTGAACCGGACTTCAGTTCGGTTCGGGAAAAGTCCGGTTTGAACTGCGGTTCAGGACCGAACTTTTCCATCACTATGTCCTGAATCAGATTTGTCTCAATGGTGAGGAAGCATTTTATTTCGCCATCGGGTACATCCTCGGCACCTGGGTCACCAGCTGCACATTGTAAACGACCAGCATCTCCTATATCAATTTCTGTTATACAGTCTCCAAAAAACAAGTGACAAGGCAAAGCGGAAAAATCTGACCTTGATATTTGGGACGAGAGCGACAATGACATCATTGGTATTTCTTTGCGGTAGGCTTAATGTAGATCTATGAGCTCATTGTCATTTTAGCAGCGTCGAAAGCATGCTGGACTTCTGCAGTCTACAATCACTATGAAACATCGCTCAAGTGCCACACCAAACATAACGGAAGTCCAGACTATCTCGAGTTTGTCTTCACATGTCGTACCAATCCTGCAAACCATAGACCCCATCATCGAAAGCGTATGCAGACAGGTCAAGGCATGAAGAATCTCAACCAAGGTGTCGCGGAGTGTGCTGCGCGGCGTGGTGTTTCAATGTCGGGGGCTAATTCTACAGGCATGCAACAAACAATAACTGGATCTGTTTCAAAATATACAGCGGAGGCTCATCATGCCTTGATAGCATTGCGCTGTGTGGTCAATAAATGCCTGTTCCACTCCGTCGCCAATCCTCTTTACATTGAAGAGGTCAAACTCTTGCGCCCCGATGTTCAGGTCCCATCTCCACGTACAGTATCATGTGACATCAACACCATCTACTGTGAGGCATCTAAAAACGACAAAATTTACTTTTCAGTGAGATTTATTGCAAAGACTGTACTGTTGCGGCTGATTATCGTTGCAGGAACATGTCGGCTCAATTCACCTTGTCATCGACGGGTGGTTAGCACCTTTTGCTTACTCGTACCTTGGGATTGTCGTTGTCTGGTATGATGGTGGCAAGATCTGGCGGTCAACACTTGAGTTCATCTGTCTTAAACAAAGTCACACTGGAGAGTACCTTGCAAAGGTAACCGTTGATTGTCTCAACCACTTTGGCCTTGAAAAAAAGGTGTGTTAGCACCTTGTAGCCTCGTATTTGATGGATTGAATTCAGTTGTAGTTTCACACAATCACAATGGACAATGCCAGTAATTGTGATTCTGCTGCAGAGCATATGCAGAAGCTTATTCCGAGTTTTCGTGGAAAGGTTTCACATTCACGGTGCTTTCCACACACAGTGAACCTCATCGTGAAGGTATATTTAATTTATCTTGCACATATCACATTAATTTTTCCATGATCAGGCTTTCCTTTCTTTCTTCTACCATCAGCCAAAGCAGAAACAACAAGGCAAGGTAACAAAACGAGGCCGTAAATCTCCCCCAACAACAACAACAACAATGATATCAATGATATTGTGACTCTTGAAGATGGTTTGGAAAATACTGAACTGACTCCTCTAGAGCAAGAACTTCTTGACGAGGAGGGTGGTAGCCCTGAAAACTCTGAAGATTCAGCTGCTGAAGCGGCCACATCTTCAACAGCTTCTGATGAGGTTGATGAAGCAAAAGAGGCACATGATCATGAGGTTGTGAGGTCTGTTCGCCAGCAAGCCATTGCAGCGGCTTGGGAGGTCAATATTACCATGACTGGACCACAAGAACGCGAAGCTTTAGGCATGTTTCCGAAGGTAAACTTGTTTTTGGAATGTTGAGTGAAATAATACTTACATTGCTAGATTGCTGGCCTGGCTCGTAAACTACACAATTCGCCTACATTACAAGAGAGTTTCGAGAAAACCGTGATATTTAAGCACAGGGAAGAGGCTCAGAAATGTTGCCTCAATTGTCGTGTTCCCACCCGCTGGAATTCAGATTTCGCATGTCTTACAGCGCACTTATATTTCAAGGATGAGGTTCAAATTTTTACGTCTACATCGGAACATGGCTTACATGATTATGCGCTCACGAGAGCACAGTGGACACTAGCCGAACACCTTGTACCTGTTCTTGAGGTGCGTTCAGTATCTTTTATTCACAAACCTTCATGCCGAACTTGCTCTACTAGCTTTTCAACGACCTCACCAATGTATTCTCGCAAGCTGAGGTACCCTTAGTCTATGATGTTGTTCCTATGCTTGAAAGCCTCGAGCATTCATTGGACCGTGTTTACAATGCCACCGAGGAGCCAGCTGTCATTTGAATAGCTGCAAAAGCTGCCCTCCAAATTGTCGGCAAATACTATGCCCTGACGGATGACAATGAGGTCTACAGTATCACCATTGGTGAGTAAATGTGATACGAGCTCCGTGGTACTGCATTGATTATTATGTAGTGATGTGTCCTGACAGAAAAACTAAGTGGTTCGACCGGAACCTTGACTGGCACAATGATGACCACATGAAGGTTAAACAAATTGTTCGCCAGTGGTGGACTGAGTCTTATGCAACACTCCCGTCACCTGTCCCAACCATGACCCATGCACCCTCAAAGCTGCGGTGCACAGCATCAACTAGTAAATGGGCTGCTGCAGGCAGTGACAATGAGGACACTTTCATCTCTCCTGACTCGATTGAGGCATACCTCAATGCTCCATGTGTCTCAAGAACCAAGATCCAGGCTGTGGGCGAAGCTCTTCAATATTGGGAGAATGCTCGTACTACTTGGCCTCAACTGGCTCAAATGGCCCTTGATTTTTTGTCTGCACCTGGTATGTAGGCTTACAAGTGATGTTGGCAGCAATCTAATACTCCATAGCTTCCTCAGTTGATGCTGAACGAGCTTTCTCTGGTGGCTGTCTGCAAGTCAACCATCTTCAACACGGTATCAGCTCCCAGACCTTCAAAGCGCAGGTTGCCGTTGGATCATGGTTTAACACACCTCTTATGCCTGATCTTGGTGTCGCCACAAGTATCATGCGGCAGAAGATGGTAAAGGGCAAGGGGAAAGAGACAAGACGGGCTGATGCCATCGAAATCGACTCTGATTGATAGTGGTTGTGGATATTGTGTACTACCTATGTCCCTGCAAGTCGTATCTACAGTTCCCAACAATGTACATTTTGTCACCCGCGGGTGACCCGTACCATCTGCAGATCCACCTGTGGGTCCACCCGCATCCGTGGTAATCTCACCTGCACGGGTGTGGGTAGGCCTTCAAAGTTCTATCTACCTGTGGATTGGGTACGGGTGCCACTCGGGTGCATCCATGTCACACTCTAGCCTGGCTGGTGGATGAGACGGAGTGATGAGAAGTGAGTAGGTCTCGGAGTGATGATCAATTTATATTGCAGACAAGGCTGCTAATGAAGGGTTCTATAAGCGCCAATCAAGTAGAGTCCAAGGGCAAAAAAAAAATGCACCAAAGCCACCAGCATTGGCAGCAAAGCCTCGGCTGGTGGATGAGAGCGAGAAAAGAAGATGGAAAGCTGCCAGTATTGGTGTCAAAAAGATGTTTGCACTGGGTGGATCCTTGATGTAAGTGTCAATGAGAAGGGCCATCAGCAAAAGGTCCAGAGAGTCTCCCACGGCCACATGATGCCTTCTGAGGCTTGAATGTATTTGTTCGTCATTATGCAAGGTGCGCATACTCGTCTCGTAAGGCCTCATTAGACTCTTTCAACCTCACGGCAGCCTTGCGAGGCGTTTCAAGATCAGCTCAGCAGTTGTCGGCAGCTCTGATCACGGAGCCTGGCCCAATGTTGACACGTGCAGAGTTGGATACCTTGGGGCATCAATGAATTTTATGAATGATCATAGTGCAGTACTAATTTTCCTACAATATATACAAGAATGTGTATGCAAAGAAGTGATTATGTGTGCATCTCATTTGTGTGTGTGTGGCGTCTGTGCATGTGTGAGTTTTGCATGTGAAGAATAGTTGAACAGATCCAGTGCCATAGAATCATGTTAAATGTAAAACTGGTACATGAAATGTGATGAATGTAAAGCTGGTACACAAAGTGTGTGAAGATTGTACAGTTATTACAAGTCCTTTAACTAGATGCAGAAGACTGTAGCGTGCGTGCAAGCAGTAACAGAAATCTGTCGAATGTAAAGCATGTACACAATCTGTATTGAATGTAAATGTTAAGGTCGTGCTAAAGGGGGAGGTTACTCAAAGGGCTTCGGCTTCAGCTCATGTGCTGCGCCCCTTACCTGAGTACATGCCCTTAATTTCCGAGGGGCAGAGGGGAAGTCCAGGGAAGTCTGGAGGTCAGACATCGGGGGAGTTTGGCAGAACTCTGGAAGACTATGAGAGAATGGAGTAGGGTTACTATGGTCAAGTCCAGAGTAGAAACAGAACAGAGTTTAGACTACCCTAAGGTAGAGCCGGAGATTTAGTCCTAAGGTTTAACCCTAAGACTCAGAGGTAGACAAGAGATGAGACTCAAGTCCAGAGAAGCAGGAATGAGCAGAACTAAGATGATATTAAAACTGAGGAGTTCCGGAGTATTACAGGAGTTTATATACTGTAGGTATCATGTAAGTAAATCAGTCAGCAAGGTAAGGGCTATGTACGAAGCATGTGGAAAGTCTATTAGTAAGTGTATAACGGATCAAAGCAGTGAGATTGGAAATGAAGTACAGATGGACGGATCAGTAAGCATAGTGGAAAGGATATAACTGGTAGCCGGAGCAATAGCTATTCTAAAAGGAGATAGGGGTGAGTCCGGAGATGAGAGCGGAGCACCAGGCAAAATAACAGGACAGAGGACCAGACTTTAGGGGGAGAGACCCAGAGGTACAGGATATGACAGTAAAGCTCATACATGAAATATGTCAAATGCAAGCTACTACATGAATTGCGCAAAGGTTGTAACAGATGCGTATTGTACGTGCAAGCAGTAGCAGGTATGTATCAAATGTAAGGCATGTGCATGACAAGTGAATGTAAAATTTGTAGTATTCCTGCAATGCAATGCAGGCAACCAATTGAGGATGGTACAGCCCATGTACATGTCCAGTGAGGAGGATGGCCCTTTTGAATCAATGTATAAGTCAGCATAGTATTTGGTAACCTGTGTTCAGGATGATGTATGGGACTATGTCATGTATTATCTAATAGTCATCAGCAAACTGAGCTTTAAATTTTGGGGGCAGTGCTTCCTGCTCATAATTGATAGCATCAGAGACCAGACACTTGTATTTGAGTTTGCAAGGTGGTGGGGTATGAAACGCTAGTGCTTCGTATATACATTGCATCCAAGTCAGGGGGATCAGAGGAACTTGCTGACACACCAGGATGACAATGTGAAGATATGATGGTGTTAAGGGTTAAGGGGTAAATATGTCTTATTGACATGTTGTTTGTTGTGTGGCATTTGCCAGCTGACTTTGAAAAGTTACATGATCACCACAATGCACCTTTCTACAACTGTTCAATTTGTCTACTTCACCCCGCCCCCAGTGTCTTTCTAGATTGGTGAGCATCCTTTCTTTTTGGTTTGCTTAAACTCCCCTCCATATGAAGCCTGGTATGGCCTGTCCCCGAGCCCCTTCAGTGAATTCACCCGTCTGAGACGGGCAGCCAGGCGTGACAATGTACCGATAGAGACGAGCCATCCGGTGTGGGCCGGTGGCAATAATTGTACCGTGATAGACGAGTGGGCCGAGGGTGTGGTGTATCCGAGGCAAACAGATGGGCTGGGGGTATATAGTATACATGGTAGTATAGCAATGTACTATATAGGTGATTATGAATGGTGGTGAATCCAGTGTGTGATAGCGAGTGGGCCGGTAAATAAGGCACAATGGAGACGAGGGGGCCGGTAGATGAGATGCAATGGAGACGAGGGGGCCGGGGAATGGGGTGCAATGGAGACGAGTGGGCCGGCCATATGGGGTGCAATGGAGACGAGGAGGCCGGGGAATAGGGTGCAATGGAGATGGGTGGGCCGGCCGTATGGGGTGCAATGGAGATGGGTGGGCCGGTGTTACAGGGTGCAATGGAGACGGGTGGGCCGGAAGATGAAATGTAATGTAGATGAGGGGGCCGGTGTTACGGGGTGCAGTGGAGACGGGTAGGCCGGTGAATGAGGTGAAATTGAGACGGGTGGGCCGGCCGTATGGGGTGCAATGGAGATGGGTGGGCCGGTGTTACAGGGTTGCAATGGAGATGGGTGGGCCAGAAGATGAAATGTAATGTAGACGAGGGGGCCAGTGTTACAGGGTGCAGTGGAGACAGGTAGGCTGGTAAATAATGTGAAATTGAGACGGGTGGGCCGGTGTTATGGGGTGCAGTACAGATGGGTGGGCCGGTAGAACAGGTGAAA